CTGGGGATAATATTAGTTGCATGGGGTGGGGGGAATAGGACACTTAAAAGTGGCACGATAAATCCTAATGTATCAGATTTAAATATACCTCACTGCCGGTTCAGATCCCAACCACACCTGTAAGCTTTCTGGCCAAGAGTGAATGAACCCCTCCCCTAAGCTGCCTTTTAGGGTTATCAGAATAAAGTTTATTCAATAAACAAAGGGATCCTTAGAGGAAAATATAGGTAACTAGACCAATAACTTCAAGATGTGTAGACTTCAACTTCCAGAATTCCTCAGCCAGCATGCTGGCTGGGGAATTCTGGGAGTTGAAGTCCACATATCTTAAGTGTTGGTCAAGGTTGAGAAACCCTCATTTGGGCATCATTCACATTGTCTCACAGCGCTAGTAAATCCTAACCAAGTGAATCATTGAGAACAGGTCCACAGCATTTGAGCAGATTTTCGGCCATACCTTCTGACCAATAGGAATTTAAAAATAGCGAATGTAGTCTATCACTTGTTACTATTTCGTCAGTGAACATGCCTGCGATTCATAATTTGACAGCGAAGACAGCTAATAAAAAAATTGAAGGAAAGCAACTTTCGTTAAAAGCAGCTTTTCCTCAATAAGTGACACTTCCCTGGGACTGCATCCCAATTTTATCCGTTCTCAGCAATATTGATTTAAGCTGCTATCCTGAAGCTATCCTGGGCACCGGAGGTCTTAAAAGTATGTTGGAGCTTGAAGCCCACCGGACTGGACTTGCCTCGTTGCAAACTCGTTAGGTGAGGCTGTGCATTTGCAAAACACATGAACCGTATCAACTATCAACGTGGAATTGCTTCCAAAATCTCAGAAGGCCTTCAAAATTCACCTGAAGAAACCTGGAGAAGTCTAATGGAAAGATCAAGCCGTTTTATTGTCTTGGTCCTGAAAGGTAAACGGAACTCAAAAATGAGCAGCAATTTTCATCTTCTGTCACCTGACCCTTAGACCACACGTCATTTCTTGTGTGTATTGGGTGTATATAGCGCATAAGAATATTGTTGGGAAATCTGTTCCATCTATACTTTATTATGTTTATTGTGAACAATTCTTCTCAACTGAATGAATGACTCCATACTGTAGCGCTCTTTTTTAAACACACACACACACACACACACACACACACACACACACACACGACAAAATGGAGCAATAGCTCCAGCTCCAGCTATGAAAAGAGGTGGGATTTTGATTGGGTTGCAATTGGGATTTAATGTGGGGGAGGAGAATAAACCAAGTCCAGAATGGAAGGAAAATAATGTTGGAGCCTCAAAATCAAAAAAATGATAAACAGTTGCCAGTGGCAATAAACTGGGACAGATAACTGGGACAATGTGGGGGAGACCAGAAATGCTTTGTTAAAATAGAAAGGGTGATAAGACCCGAATTAAACCACACTAGACTCTTGAAATTTGCCTTTTCAGATAATTGAACTGGTATTTGGTTACATCTGAATATGCTTGCAGGTGAATGTGCTATTGCTAATTAAGGAAACGGCTACTGGAAGTGATGAGCTGGGCGGAGATTTTACTGAGACCAACTGACAGTTTCCGAATAAGAGCGCAGAAATTACTCAAGAGCAGTTCATCCCCAGCCCTCTTTCTCAGCCAAGTAAACCTCCAAACCGCAATTTAATTAGCCCGGGGCATAGCGATTCTGTCCTTACATTGCCTATAATCTCAATGTTGGCAAAACCTCTGGTCCTGTCCAGATTCCCTTTCTCCAAATAAAAATGCAGAGGGCGGGAAGGTTCACCTCATGAGTTTCAAGAGTTGCCTTTCTCTCTGAGTCAAGGAATATTTGGAGAGAACTGGGACAAACCGACCCTTCTAGGCATCTACTGTTATCTGCGCCATTTGATTGCCCTTTTAGGCAACTAAGAAGGACAGAAGCAAGGCTGCCCGTTGTGGGACTCGTCTGTTTCACAAGGCACAGACGCAAAATCTCAGAACTCCATTGGCAAGGTTAACTACACTCCTCTCCTACCATATACCTACCTACCAACACCTATAGGTGTAGCTACCGCTGCACTCCTAACCATCCCCTTCTCCCAAAAGGCAGAGAAAGGGCTGAACCCCTCCTGTTTTTCGGAAGAGTAGAGCTACCCTCCCACCCAGTCATCTGGAACAGCTGGATTTGAATACACCTGGGCACCAGGATAGCGTGAAGGCAGCTTTACAATGTTCAAAACCAAGTCCAGGGCAAACTGAAATATTTGGAATGTAAATTATCTCCTTCCTTCCTTCCTTCCTTCCCTTCCGTGTGTCTCTCCAATCTAAAAATAACACTGGAAATTTAGCAGAGCATTCACATTCTCTCGTGCTTTTCCTTTGACGAGACTTCCACTAGGTTTAGTAGGGGTTCTCCTTCTTTTCGAATACATTTGCTGTGCCAAAGGTCCGGCTTTCCATTCGTCGTTCAAGTAAAAGGGTTGATGGGACGGCGCGTTTAGCAAAGTCCCGTGTCCTCCTCAGTCCCGTGTTCTCTCAGCCGTCGCTTCCCAACATTACAGAGCAACTAAAAAGAGGGGGCTGAATTGGGCTCTTAAGAGCCCCGGAGGCAAGAGGGGGCGCTTTTCTGGCAAGAGAGAGAAAAGAGATCCCAAGGGGTAGATCAAGTTCAAGACTTGTCCCAGAAGCAGCGCTTCAGTCGCGCAAAAACCGAAGGCGCAGGATTCCCGGAACACCCCGCGGACAATTCCAGGTGGTTTTTCTTGGCTGCAACCCTGCCCTTGTTTGCCTCCCCAGCCTTTTTCAAGGGGACTTTTTCGACTTCTCGCTCAAACCTACAGTCCTGGGCTGCCCTGGATCGCCTAGCCAAGCCTTAAGCAAGCCAGCTCCGCTTAGCTCTTTTGAGGTAAGTAGTGCTTGGCTGGGAGACTGCCGGTGAGATCCCTCTGACAATGTTCAGGTCGGGTTTCCCCCCGTCCGCCCCCACCAGCTGACCGAATCGAGCAACCAGTCCTGCGCCGGGTACTTTTATAGCAGTGAGGAAGTTTTTAAGTTCTGGATCCCGGCGAAGACGGCTGAGTGGTGCTGCTTGGCCCAAGACAGTGCGGTTGCATGCATTTCTGGCCTCTGGAGAGCTAAATCGGCTTCTTCCAGCCAGGCCCGCATCACTTGAGCGAGGCAACCTTGTCTTGTGTTTTATTCATTTGCTTCGGCTCCAAAGCATGCTTTTCCTTCGCATTTGCTGTCGAGGGGCTCTTCCTGCCTTCCCTTTTCCTTAAAAAAAAAAAACCAACAACCTCCGGATTCTCCTGGAGTTCTCTCTGGCACACAGCCCTCCCCGCCACGGTCCCATCCGCAACTGTTAAATTATCCTCTGCAGGAAAGGGTAGGTAAAAGGAGGAGCCTCTCCCCCGAGAGCTGTGGATGGAGGTGGGGAGACAGCGCCGGCTCTCGAGAGCCCCCGGCACCACCCCACAGGAGCACGCCCACTCTTCGGGAAGCGCTGAGCCTGCCTTTTCCTGCTCTGCCACACGCACACACCCCCAGCACTAGCAAGCCCGCTTCTGGCTGGTCGTCTTTCTTCGCGGGCTCGTTTAAAAAGTGTGACAAGGGGCATCAGAGGCCCGCCAATCGGTCCCCCCGTGGCCAGAAGCTCGGAAGGAATGCCTCCTCCCTCATCCAGATGGGAACACCACATCCGAGAGCTGCATCCTTTCCCTGGCCCAAGGAAATCAATGACCAAAGGGCCACTTGGCCAGGCTGGGCCGTTCTTCAGAGCCAGCCGTCGGAAAGACGAAAAAGGCACCGTCTCTCGCTCGCCCCGTTGCCCTTGCGTGCGCGCTTGGCGCCACAGCCGAACAACAGGAGGCGCTGCGCATTTGCAGAAGCAGAGCGGCTGCCCGCCGGCCTTGTCTCCTTTCTTTTCTTCCACCGGCTCCCCCGGGGGGCTGAGGTTCCTCTCCCCCGGCTCAGAATTCCCCCCACCCCCCACTTCCCAAATGGCGAGGACCGCGGTGCCCTGGAGATGCCAAGCTTAACGCGGAAGGTTAAAATCTTTAGGAAAAGGCAGGTGCATTAACCAGAGTTGTCTTGTTTCATTGCTCAAATTGTCAGCCCATTTCTTGCCGCCTGGTGTTTTTAGTTTGCTGCGATTTCTTACCCTTTGGCCCAATATCAAAAACCTTCATGATCCCAATAGCTTTTTACTCTTATTCACGACCATCGTCCTCATCGTCATCCCTGATTATACTTTGAGCGGATGACACGGTTTTGCTGAATTAATGGGGAGAGGGAAACCAAGGCATAATCTCTTCTGTATCTGTAGTTCACACTATACACCTTCGTTCCCATCCCCACCCGGCAGGTCCCTCGTTAAATTAAGGCCCTAAGAATTCTGCAAGTGTCTTAGGAATATCCAAGTTTAGATTAGATACCAAGTCCTAATATTGGCTGATATCCAAAGGATTGCAAAGCATTCAAATTTAAATTCATGGGATTGCTCTGGATCACATTCGACTGAGATTTTTAAAATGCTGCTGGTTTCTATCACATTTGTTACCATAATGTGAGTGTTAACATTCCAATGGACTTCATTAGGCATACAAATCTTAATTACTGTAGCCTTACAGTATTTGTAATAATGCCTATTAATTTAAACATATGTTATGCCAGAGGAGGCATTTAGGATCACAAAGTTCTCTCGGTATATTATAAATGATAGTTATTGGCTGTGGTATAAAAGTTCTTCCATGGCAAAATTGTTTCCGAAGCATTTTATTCCAAAGTGTAAAAAACAAGGTACCTATGGAAGAATGTGTTTAGCTTTTTTTTTTAATAGCATTCTTTTCTTTCTTATTCTTTCCTGCTGATTTGAGACTTTCGCTTGAATCAAGGATTTAACTTCATTCTATTGCCAGATTTAAGAAGGAGGTTGGTAGCAGGGAACAAAAGAAGCTTTTTGTTAGCACGTTAAAACATATTTTTAAAATATGGATGTCACTGTCTGAAAAAACGTTTGCTTTGGTTTTGTGGATGTTTATTAATAGAACTACATTTCAGTGTGAACCAATAAGGACAAATCTTAGCTGGATGGAGAATTAGAGGAAATCTCAGGAATGCAAAAGAAACAAACAGCTAGGTTTGCCATCCCAAGTAAACCGGAAATAGTGTTCTGGAATCAAATTCTTTAACACCGCCAGGGAACATTCTCCTAAGGGGTGATCCCGTTTCCAATTGTTGCGCCTGCATTCGAACTGACCCGGAAAGCATCTTCCACACAAGGAGAATGTATTTTCCTAGTGCCGTGGTCGTGCTGCCTGTCTGCCCCATGTCGGAGGGATCCTGCTCCATACTGCTCCCATGGCATCTTTTCCTTGGCCTCCCTTGGAAAAAATGCTCAAATTAGGGAATGCCCAGAACTCTCACCTCTTTCGTAAGCACAAACACACAGTATGGATTCTGGTGAAAAGGACGCAGGTTGGAAAAATAGCATCCACTCAACCCTGGCAGCATTAAATGTTTGTCTTCCAGCCAATTTTATGCCTCTGGAAATTAACTGGCAACTTCACCCACATCCCTTGCGCCAATGGGCTCTACTGGGACCAATCCATACCTGGAGTTCTGTCCAGTGAACCTTATTTTCTCCAAGTGGCTTACGCTGTAGCATGTTGATTAGGACTGCCATTAGGTGGGGCGTTTAAAGGTATAAAGGACAAGGAGTGGGTTGACTTGGTAAGCCATCATCTTCTGTGCAGCATGTAATGCACACTTACGCCTTAATTCTGAGGAAACTGGTTTGTCAATGAGATAGATGGGCAGTTCAGAAATGAAAATAAAAGTTGATATTCCGAGGACTTGTCCACTTCATAGTACTCTACTGTGAATAGTCTGGCTTTGGATCCCGGTTAAATTATTTTATTCTACTGAAGTCAATGAGAGGTAGGGCAATTATTAAGGAGAATATACTTAAGCTTGAATTCAACCCACAAAAAAAATCAAGATCTTTAAAGACCCCCTTTTAAATCATGGGACATTGGGAAAAAAGTTCTCCTGAGTTGCTTGGTTTAATTTCTTCCCATGAAATTATTCCCCAACTTACTTACTTGCCACCAACCCTTAGGAAGAGCAAGTAAGACTGCACATTTTCGTAATTCTTTGATATTGGGAGGCCTCCATAGAGGACTCTGTGGGATGCCATGGATCACCTGATTCCAGGAGATCATAGAGATGCCCTTGCAGAACAATGTTAGACAGGTGGAGTAAATGTGCAAGAGAAAATCGCCACCCAGTCTAAAGCAATGGCAGGAGGACAGCCGAAGATTTGTGCCCCACAGCCATTTCTGGCTCAGTCACCAAATCTCCCGTGGCAATCACCTGTTATTGACTCGCCCAGGCGGTTCCTAAGGTGACGATTTCCAGGCAAGGAAGGCGCGGGGCTGGAGCGGGAGGTTGAGCTCAGGGGAAGAAAGCCATGAAAATGGTCGGAATGACTCACCTGGGCCTTTTGCCAAGCGGAGCTTTCAGGCCAAGGGATCCACCGTTCAGACCTCAATGCGCCGGGCCTGGACTGGCTGAACGTCACAGCAGTAACTCATGTATTCACCCGGTGCTTCTGCCCGAAAGGGAGAATATAATGCGGGGGGGGGGGGGGATGCTGAAACTTTCCTCCAAGGCAGATTTTCCCTGTCACATGGAACAAACCCTATTTTATTATATTTCTGCGGGTACGGCGGGGAGAAAGAGGGGAGAGGGAGGAGAGCTATTAGGTAGGACCACGGTCCATGAAAGGTTGCATTTTCGTGTCTGGATTCTCCCCGTTGCAAGGAGGGACGCTTTATTTTACTGACTTCGACTTGGGCTGCTTTTATTCCATCATTGGGACGAGGGTGTGGGGTGCCGGGAATCAATGCTTGGCACCCAGCTTGCTACTGTTGCTGCTGTCCCTACCGCCGCCGCCGCCGCCAAAGTTCAAGCGCGACCGAGAAAGATTAACCGCTTTTGCTTAAAAGGACGGCAGCCTAACAGCACAGCCATCTGCGCCTCTAAAACTCTAAACAAGAAATCGTTCAGGGCTCTTGGCTTGGTTTTAATTGCAGCCACCCGCCCTGCTCCCCTTCTGGAAAGAAGTGTCCGAGCCGACAGGACAGCTCCTATGGCTGGGTCGTGCGCCTGCCCTCCTCGGTCTGCTCTTTGAACACAGACAGGAGTGCCGCCTTTCCCTGGAATTGCCCCCGCCCTCATCAGCGGCAGCGGGCGGAGGGCGAGGGGAGAGTTAAATCCAAAGGCTTGCCCTCCTCCTTTCCTTCCTGCCTCCCCCTCCTTTTTTCTGGGTTTCTCCCCCCCCCCACACCCCCCCCCCCCTCTCCCCCCCCCCCTCCTTTTTTTTTTTTTTTTTCCCCCCCCCGCGCCCTCCCCCTTTCCCCCCCCCCCCCCCCCCCCCCCCGCCGTCCCGCATAAACCAATTACACCGCTTTGCAAATAAAGAGACGCCCCAGGGGAGTTGCAAGCCGAGTGGAACTGCCTGCTTTGCAGGTGCATCTGCGGCTTGGTAGGTGCGAACGTCTTTGTGCGACGGACAAATGGGGAGAGGAGGAGGAGGAGGAGGAAGAGGAGGAGGAGAAGGAGGTGGGCGCTGCTTTGGCGGCAGCAGCGGCGGCGGCGGCGGCGGCGGCGGCTGGTGCAACGTAAGATCCACCTCAGCTCAACTCCGCTCACATCCCAGCCGGCACTTCCTCACTTTCTCGAGTGGCTCGCCGCCACCCAACGTCCCTGCTTGACTGAGCCCTCCCCGGGGGCCGGCTTCCTGCTAGACTCGGGGGGGCTCCGTTTTCCGACCTCCCTTTCGCTCGCCAAGAGGGGACTGAATGGTTACACCGCGCACGTTGACTCCAGGATGTTAGGGACTGTGAAAATGGAAGGGCACGACGCAAGCGAGTGGAACAGTTACTACGCCGAGACTCAGGAGGTGAGCGAATCCGGGGTGGCTGGGTGGGCGGTCGAGGGTGGGGTGGGGTGGGGAATCCGAGAACTGGTCCGGAGGGCTTCAGCCAAGAAGAGGTTCTTTCCACCCCCGGGAATCGCCAGTTCCTGACGGCGCCTAAACCAGCTTTCTCCAGTGTTACAGCTGGCTGCAAAGCCCGGGAAGGAATCAACATAAATTTCCGATCGTCCCACGGGGCAATGGAGGGGGCGGCGGAAATGCGGGGTTGGTGGAGGTGGTGGGGAGATCAGTGGCAATCGAGCCGATGGGGGTGGGGGTGGAAGACCTTATTGATCACCTCCTCGGATTAGGCGTCGAAACACGGCAGAGTTCTCAAATCCAGGTCCTCCCAACCGCGCCAGAGTCCCTCCATGAAGGGCCTCGATTTGTCTACGTGCCGGGAGGGAACAATCATCACGAGCTCCCCCCCCTCCCCCTTGGGCAGCAGTTTCACGTTTTGTTGGTCCCCTTCCCACGCCTCACCTGTGCCAATATTGTTCTGCAACTAGGCAAAAGAGGCATTGGTGTGTGTACTTTGCCGCACGCTTCTTTCACGGAGTTGGGGGTTGGGGGGGAACGGGGGGTGGTAAAGATTAAAAATAAATCAGAAATTAATTCTCCCGGAGCCCGGCGGGTGGCGCTGCCGAGAATGCGATCCGACTCCGTAACCAGGAGCCTAACTTTTCATTGTCCATTCATGCCCACGCTCCTTATTTTACAATATGCTCCAAAAGGACTGAAAGAAAGGATCAAAAGCGGGCGAAGGAAGAAGAAGGGTGCAGAAATCTATGGACCCCTAACTGGGAGTGCGGGGGGGGGGAATAAATGGAGCCTTTTCGTAAATAAAGGCTTGGACGTAAAATTAAAAAGCGGCAACCCAGGAAACGTAGTTATATAAAGTGAAAAAGAAAGCGACGAGATGAGACCCGCAGCGCGTTGCAGGAACGAGATTGCTTTGCGCGCCTTTACCAGAATTGTGATTCGGGTTTGCTGCGCGGCAAACACGGCCAGTGGTTTAAAAAAAACAACTGGGGGCCCCTGGCTGCATTTGGTATCGCCCCTTTTGTAGAGGAGCTTCTAATTTAATGCCAGAGGTCAAAGGGGGCTCAAAAAGAGATTGAGAATCGTTGGCTGCGTCTTCCCGCCTCGCCGGTGGGGTGGGAGAGAAAATAAAACGACCATCCTAGGCGAATGTGGGGTCTTGGATCGGCGAACGAGAATTTGCCAGCTCTCCGTAAACTTAAATTCTACTTTATACGGAAGTATTTTTGAGACTGAAAGGAATTTGGCACATTCCTATTACTTCCGTATTTAGTTCAAAACGCGCGTAAGAAACTATGCATATGCTTATATGAAGAGATTCGCCCCGCTCCTCCAATTGTAGGCAGTAGACAGTACTGATTTTCTAGGCTGGATTGGGTTCCTAGAATTTGAAAATAGCAGGCATCTTCCCCTACCCACACTGGCAAGGACTATTATGGGCATAGCCTATCATTCAAATATCACCATTCCTTGACATATTTCCGCTAATACAAAACTATAATCCTAACAGTGTGGGGGCAATATCGTCCACAGAATATAGTTCAAATATAGGCAATATAGAGGAGTTTATAAGGCGTAACCTTTCCCGTATAGTTTTCAATGAGTTGATAAAGTAAATCAATGGTTTAGGCATTCGATTTTTTAGGGAAAAGCTTCAGCCTTTGCAAGGATTATTCCTTAGCCTGCTTAAAGCGCCTTACGGCAGGATCTTTGATTAAAACCGCGAAAAGCGGTGGCATTTCGACTGCCTTTTATCACTTAGTCAAAACTTCTAGGCTGCAAGGCAAAGAGAGGAACATTTCAGGATCATTTGTTTGATTTTGGACATCCCCGGTCCCCTGCCCCGAATTTACCAGTCTTCCTCCCAAGGAAAGTTTCCCGGTTTAGCAGGAACCAGCCAAGGCCCTGGGAGAAAAGCGGCTCCCAACACTGTCGCCCAGGTTGTTTCCCACACGCCCCCCCCCCCCCCCCCCCCCCCCCCCGCCGAAGCAGAAGCTAGAGCCAGCAAAGCGAAGTCGGGAGAGGGGACGCGGGGCTGAGAAAAAGCGGGGACTTCGCTTTCTTGGTTTCGGGGGCCCGGGTCGCGCGGGTATGAAGGCCTCGGCTTCTCTTGGGCGCCCTAGGGGACGGCGAGGAGCTGGGAAGATCGGGCTTTTGTGGTTTATAGGGCGCTTGCCCTCCACCGTTTCCCTTTCCCAGGGTCTGTGGAGTGAGTGGGGGCTGGCAGAGTGGGCCGCCTCGGTGTGAAGTGGATCTGCCTAGCTCTTCTTCCAAGGCAGTTCTGAGCTGCTCAGGGGAAGCCTTGGTTTGCATTCACTGCCTTAGATTTTGTAAAAAGAACCACCACTACAAACTGGGTGGGCCTTCCATGAAGCCAAACATAGGTGGGAAACAGGTTTGGAGGTTGTGTCCCCCCCCCCGCCCCCATTTGGAAACTAGATTCTGGGAGAGCTGCTGTTTGCCCAAAAAGGCAGGTGAAGATTTGGGCCTTGCAGGTTTCTTGTTTCCAGTCTGCTCCCGCCTTGAGGTTTTGGTCTGATGTTCTCCAGATCTTTAACCCTGCGCTTAATCAGAACCCCTCTTTAAAATCACAGCCGCGATTTGTGCAAGGGCCAAGCAAACAAGCTCTCCAAATTTGGCCCTGGACAAAACTTCCCTTCCTTTCTGAAAAAGGCAACCGGGGCTTGTGGATGCCTGTGAAGCCACCCACTGGTGCTGCATAAATACATGTTTATATATTTGCTCCCAAATCAACGCAGCCAATGCAGCCGAACTGTTTATATCATTATTATTATTATTATTATTATTATTATTATTATTATTATTATTATTATATTGGCATGTATATTTCGGATGCAAGCCGTTTGGTATGGTGAATAACACGCGTGTATGTTTTCTGCCACTATTCCCGATTTCTTTAGCATCTGACATAGTGCGGGGACAAGTCTCCGTTTGGAAAGCTTGGGGCCGAAACTGGACTCAAGGATTCCCTTTCTGCGGAATCTGGGGCTTCAGAAGGCTGCATCCGCTCCCCTCTTCTCCTTGCAATGCAAGGATGAGCCGGAAAGGCCGGCTGCAGGGGAAATGCATTCTGCAGGGGGAAATTCTGGGGCCAAGTAGGGGAACGTCACCAGGTGGGAACGCGGGGCCGTCTGGCGCGGCCGGGCGGGAGGGTCGGAAGAGCCGGTTTTAACCTGTGTGCGCTCCCTCCGCAGGGCTATTCGACGGTGCCAGTGAGCAACATGAATTCCGGCCTGGGCTCCATGAATTCCATGAACAGCTACATGAGCATGAACGCCATGACCACCAGCGGCAACATGACCTCGGGCTCCTTCAACATGTCCTATGCCAACCCGAGCCTGGGGCCCGGCTTGAGCCCCGGTGGAACCGGAGCCAGCATGAACGGTATGTCAGCCATGGGGTCGGCGCTGAGTCCCGGCGGCATGAACGCCATGGGCGGCCCGCAGGCTTCGCTGAACGGACTGGGCGCCTACGGGGCCATGGGACCCTGCATGAGCCCCATGGGGTACGCCTCCTCCAACCTGAGCCGCGGCCGCGACGCCAAGAGCTTCAAGCGCAGCTACCCG